AATTACATTCAAGTTGTTTTGTAACGTTCTTTTTTGAAACATTTCAGATTCTGACATAGGTAAAGATGTGTTTACAGATCTCAATAAAATTGAGAGATGTAAGTTTTGAAGTTGATTTCGACTTTGCAGAGAAAGCGAGTCTGACGAAGACCGACAATTTTAAAGATATTGTAATTTGCATATGTTCAGTAAACGCGTATTTTTGAATTGCACGTTGCATAATTTAGTTTGTATTGTTATATGTTCCAGATGCATTCTATTTTGCATTTCGTTTTTCGATTGTCTAGGAGTTTACACAGGTTTGCTTCAAATTATTGTTTTTTTTTACAATTTTGCATATTCGAAATTCTGTAATTCGAAATTGAACAGTATTATGTTTCTATAGAACTTTGTTGAGTACGTTCGAGCAGTTAAAAAAAAACAAATGTAAATAACGATTTAATTTGTTTTTTGTTTAATGTTTAAATACAATATTTTTTTATACAATAAATTTAATTGAATTCCTTATTTATTTCTGTGTGGTATTAGCAGCGTTGTTGTTGGAGACATGAACGTGAATTACAAGCGTTGGTTCCGGTTCAGTCATAGTGTCACTCCTAAAGCAACGGCACTTTGGCAGTGGTGTTGTATATATAGTTTCTCTGAGTGTACAAGAGCACTCGAGGTTCGTATCTATTAAATCGCGTTTTTGAATGACATGTCGGATTCAATAAGGGCTACTGTTTTAAGTGAGATTGCACAGAGCTGTTCTCATCCGTGGCAACAGACGAATGTATTGTAGCTGTCCAGCAGAAGGCTGCCGCAGTCGGCACAGAATGGTATCCAGCAGCGTGTGTAAAGTGCAGTAACATTTCAATGCATGCGCATGATTATTCTCCAAACACGATAGAAATTGTTCGCGCAACCTAGGGGGCAAAACCTGGTGGCGTTTGTCAGAGCAGATTCAAGAAGGCCAAGGTTGGCAGCTCTCTTTTAAAGCGGCAGGACGGGAGTTGGGCCGTGTCTAGTGTAGACTTTGCGCAGTCTTTCAGTAGGAAGTGGTCGTTGCCTTCTACGGAACAGAACGCATTCTCAGACTTCGCTTGGACGATGGCTCCTCCTGACCTTCAGTCCTTCTTCCGCGTCCGTGTTCGTGCCGCGCGCTTTGTTTTAGCTGACCTAAAAGCGGACAGGCTCAAGGTCTGGCTCAAGGACGTTCAGGCTCCCGCGCATCGTGCCCACCCGTGAGTTGCACGAGCGCATTCAGTGAGCTCCTGTTAGAGCAAAGATCAAGATTTCGCTCCAGCATCTCTATCCACCTGCACGCGCGATGGCTTCTGGTGCTGCTTCCGGTGTTCCTACCTCGAATGTTCTCGGTCGTCTTGCTGATCGACGTGCTGCCGTTCAATCCGTTTTGACGAAGTCGCCTTCGAAGGAATGCCTCCCAAGAAGTCTGCGCGGACCGACAGTGACGTGATGTGCACCGATCATGGTCTTCCAGCTGTTCCAGCCTTTCCAGACGCGGCTGTGCCTTTGGGCACGCCTGCGCCCCTGTCTCTCGCTCCCGCCATTGGCGCTGGCAGCGGTGGCGCCCCGCTGGGTGCCCCGAGTGCAGATTTTGCACTGGTGAGAGGGTTGCGGCGTCGAGTGGCGGCGCGCCCGTACTTCCTGCCCCAGACGCTTCGGACAGCGAGAAGCTTAATTTCATCATTAACAACATGTCCATGAAGCACGAAACGGTCACGAAGAAAGACTTGACCCAGACTGAGATCAACATGATGAAAGCCAAGAAAATTCATGTGGGCGAGGAGTTGGGTCCAATCAAGCGTGACCTGGTCGACTTAAACGAGCGCCTGTCCATCGTCGAACAGCGTTCTTCGAGCACTTCTGTGTCCAAGCGTCAAGTTGCAATGTTGAACGCCTTCGACCCCGCGAACAAGAGGATCGCACTCATCGGTTTCGCGACAAACATTTTGCAGGATCGCATCGCTTCAATTGAGAGTTTCGTGGGATCATTGCAGAACGTGCCGTCCTATTGAATTGGGCATTTCTTTACCGGCCCGCGTAATTCTCGTCATGTTTCCAAGGTGTCTTAGTTGGAATTTGGCTCGTCGGATTCGGCTTCTGCATTTTTAGAGTTGCACAAGACTAAAACATTCGAGTGCAAGGGCGTGTCTATTAAGATGAAAGCCGCCAAGAGCCAGATGAATTTACAGCGGGATTGGTCTCTCAGGAAAGCTGCGGACTTGATTAAGTCCCACAGCAGCGTGTCCGATCCAGGTGTCGTGCGCACTGACATGAAAGCACGGAAGGTTATAGTGGGAGAAACAGTTGCTTTGATTCAGAATCCTGGCGATTTCGAGGGCGAGTTCCGCGACAGATTCGTCGACCTTCGTTTCCCTTAGGGATGCGGGGGGACTGTTCATTTTGCATGTTTGAACTCTCCTGTCCTCGCCCGCAGCTCAGCTGCTAGTGCGCGGTCCCCGGCAATGTTGCAGACTCTTCTCTCTTTCCGATGCAC